AATTCGAAGCTGTTGAAGAGATGATAACCCGCTCATGGTTGGAATGAGCCTCAGATCTCCACATTTAGTCAGTTCTAACTCTTCTAGGCATGTGAGGGTCGAAATACTATCCCCGATTGTTTCCAATCTTGGACATGACCGAATGTCTAGTCGTTTGAGGGACTTCGGAAAGGAGTATTCTCCGATTCTGGTTAATTCAAGGCAATCACTAATTCGAAGCCGTTGAAGAGATGATAACCCGATCATGATTGGCATGCTTTTCAACTTTTTACATCTTAAGATTTTCAAGTTCACCAAATTTTTGAGCGAAAATGATTCACTCAAACTAGGCTCCATCCATGATGGACATTTTTCACCTCCATAACAGTCTATAGTTAATATTCTCAAATTTGGGGGAGGTTTGAGGCCTGCTAACACATCTTCATCATGATTACATTCTTCTGTATTTCTTTCTGTCCAATCCAACCTCAACTTATAAAGTCCAATCTTTCCCGAAAGATTTGCTTTCTCGGCTTCTGAGTAGTTTTCAACATGCTCTAGATCACATATATTTAATTTACCTTCAAGTTGGTTCAAGCATCCCAATTCCTCAATTCGACTTCCCTCTTGTGGACCGACAACAAATAACTGCAACGTTTGAAGATCCTTTAGCCTACCAATTCTGAGTGGCATACAGCTGTAATTATTGAAATAAATGTGTCTCAAGCTGACTAAGTTTTCCACCCCTTCTGGCTGTTTTACAATCTGAGAACAATGCATGAACCTCAGCGTCTGCAAACTATACAACTCCATGATAAACTGGGGTAGTTCTTTAATGTTGGCGCATGAAATGTCTAGATACCTCAAATGCTTCATCTTGCCGATCCAAGTTGGCAACTGCTCAGTATTAGCTCTCCAACGGTTTTCAAAGCTAAGAATGCGTAACCTTTTGAAGCTATCTGGCATCTTGCCCAAAATATCACCTTTAAGAAATAAGGAATGTAGTTTTCCAGCCACCTCCACAAAATTTGCTGGCACCATCTTCTCAGCATCAACGAGATTCAAATGCCGAACATGAGCAATATTGCTCTCTGAACCAGCTTTCAAAATAAGTGTTTCTGATTTTGAATTGTAAGTGGCAAGATCATGAATTAAATCATGCATTTTGCATGACTTAATCTTTCCAGTTGAATCTCTTTCTTCCTCTAGAAACAAACAATATGACAACAAGTCATTGAAATACTTGTTACCAATATCCTCCATAGAACTTCCTTGTGATGGTAGAAGAAAGCCTTCAGCCATCCAAAGTTGAATTAACATCTCCTTTTCAATTTTCCAATCCTGGGGGAAAATGGAACAAAAGGCAAAACATTGCTTCAATGTTGTGTTAGGTAGGCGATCAAAACTCAACTGTAAAACTCGAACAGTCCATGTCCGCCTATCATCTTCCAGTGAACTCAAACTATTGTTAATTGACACCCATTCACCCCTATCCCTTTGATTACTCAGACTAGCCCCAATGACATTGGCAACTAAGGGTACACCTTTACATTTTTTAGCGATCTGCCTTCCAATCGCTTCCAACTCCAGATCCAGCACTGAAGAACCTCCGAATGCTCTCTGCTTTATTATAGACCAACACTCTTCATCTTTTAGTCCTTCAAGATGATACATGTGTTCTCCAAGTGCTCCCATTATAGATGCTACATTTTCACTTCGAGTTGTCACAACCATTCTACTTACTTTATTTTTAGTTATTTCTAACAAACAACCCCTAAAGGCTTCCCACTTCATTCTATCCTCATTCCACACATCATCTAAGATTAGCAGACAGTTTTCATTTTTTAACTCATCTTGTATTTTTCCCACTATGGTAGCCTCATTTTCAATTGAACAACCCTCTTTGGTGAGAGATTCTAACATCTCTTTTAGGATTTTTTTGACATCAAAGACTTCAGACACACAAATGAAAATTGTTTTACCAAAATTCCTCACTATTTTCTCATGATTTTGCACTGATTTTGCTAAGGTGGTTTTTCCTAGACCCCCCATACCCACTACAGATATAACAGAAAGGGACTCCTCATTATTTGGATCAATCAACAAGTCAACTATTTTTGACACATCATTCTCTCTTCCTATGACTCTAGGACAATAACTAAGAGAGGAATATGTTGTTTGAGGGTTGCTACAAGGTTCATGGCTAGCAAGTCTAGACTGAAGTCCAAAATCAGCAGCCTCCTTATTAATCTCAACTATAGATGCAATAAGATTCTTGATCTTACTAGCCATCTCGAGACGAAATATGAAAGGATTGGAGGTAGTAATGTAGAGACGCACCTTCTTCTTCATTTGCTTTTGAGACCATACCTCCTGTTTCAGTCCTTCATAAACACCCTCGTCCAAAACATCCTCAGCATCACGAGCCACGTCTCTGAGGTTCTCAAGCCAAAGCTTCACAGCTGAGTCTCCAACTTGCCTTCTGTCTGCATCTTGCAACACAGCACGAATCATGGTCAACTTGTTGCAAAGTCTTCTGAGCTCTGCCTCCCAACTGACTGCACGTCCGATTTGCTCAGTAGCAGCTGAAATCACCTTGTCTATGGTGGCTTCAACAACAGGACCCAAGACAAGATCGCCCATCTTCACTTCAATGGATCTGGGAAAAGTGTGCAAATTATGCTAGAGAGTTAATAGGGATAAGATGGAATTATTGGAATAGATGGTGGTATATATAAAATAGGGGTGGATCAAGGCAACTATCATTGGCGCCACGCGGTTTTGAAATCTCCAAATTACCCTTTCGCTAGATGGCAATCAATGTGACCGATGGTGTGATAAAAAAGTATGATCAAGTCACTGGAGAGCGGACACCGCACTCTGAGGGTGGGGTCCACATTACAGGTGAAGATGTTACCCACAACAACGCACATTTTCTCCACCACTAAATGATTAATGATCATACCTTTTTTCTGTAAATATGTTAGTATATAAAATTTTAAATTTTATTTTTAAATATTAGTAATTCTCTTA